ATCTTATTCGTTATAGCTCTGTTTGGCGAAGGGTTTTCGCCTACACACTCGTGAGGTTGAGCTCTATCCAAATATGTACATAAAAGTGACAAAATAGATAGGAATTAAATAAGTCCGTGAAAGTCCGTTTAGTTCATTAAGGGCATATTCGTCCTTTTACTTATTGAAAAAAACCTATACGCCATAATTATAAACACGTCAAAACTAAGAATACGAAATACATAATTTTAAATAGTGAAATCCGGGGACGGGATTTCACATCTTAGGTTAGTATATCGCTAAAGGTGAATTTGAACTACATTATTGCGAATCCATTGTGAGGCGAAACTCACTCCCTTCCCATTAGTGTAAATATCTTTGGTTTCAAAAAAATTAAAAAAAAAAAAAAAAAAAGGCAACTTAGAGTATATGGGCCGAGTACATGCAAAATCGGGTACTAATATTAACTCAGCCAAAAATGTGAATTGCAAGTCCAAACCCATCGGCTAGCCTTGATTGTGTCCATCATCTTCATTTGCATCAAAAGTGCTTTGAATAAGTTAAATTGTGGATATGATTTTGAGAGTTTTAACGAAACACTTTCTGTTCACTTTTAAGGAAAATGACTCTTTTACTCTAAAAAGTCACTTCTGGTACTATTCACTTACAACACATTTTTGTACTTTTGATTAAAATTCAAAGTTTTTAAACCATTTTCATTAGTTTTCCTTATAATTTTTTTTTATGATATGCTTTTCACCTTGATTTGTACCGCTACATTATAGATTATAATCAATTAGATAGGAATTGTAAATTGGGGTACAAACACACGGTGAACATTCAAAACGCTCCACACCCACTGATCACCACCAATCACGTGTAATGTTCAAACTCCACAACCACCGATGATGTCCCACTCTCCAACTCAGTGGCCGTTAGCTATGGACTTGTCTTTCTCAATAGGCTAAACCAATCGTACAGGCATCACATGGAACTGATCCAAATCACAACTAAGTTGAATGATTTGGTTTCGTTTTTATGGAAATCACTTGCCTGTATTAATTCTTGATACTTGACATTTTCTTTTCTTCCTTTTTCAAAAAATTTATTATTACTAAGAGAATGATGTAAAGTTCGAAACTATTACAATAATTTAAAAAATATGTGAGTTTCAAACCCTGATTACATGATTGGAAATCCAACACCTTATCCATTAGAATATTATACCATATACATGTTTATTATGTTCCCATGTTTTTAACTTGAGATTTGTGTGTTTGTCGTTGGTTCGATCTGGATGTGGATTGGCGGCCCCCTTTTTACCGATAATCTTTACATGAAAATAAGGTATCAAGGCCTATCAAAAGAAGGGTACTTTGAAATTGTAACCTACAAAAAATATGGAGTTTGACATCGAGCAACATCACTAGATAGCTTGAGACTTGCATCAGGTTGGAGGCTGCCCAAAACCCTCATTTTCCTTTCACTATTGCGCGACTCCATGTGACTGCCGAATTCGGCTTTCCACAGTTTGGTATTTTTCTTTGGCAAACTGGTAACTTTCATTAATTTAAAAAATTTAATACAAGAAATAGAATGTTTAAACACAATTCAAATACAAGCATAATTTAAAAGTAAATACAATAAAAAGCACAAACCTACAACAACAAAAATTTTAAATGTGAAAGAATGCAGACTCCATCACACTAGTTGCACCGCCATTACCGATCTACCACCACCAACAAAATTTAAAAAAAAAACCGGTAAACAAAATGAATGAACAAAAAATGAGGGTAAGCGAGTCATTTGCTTAAAAAAAAACCTCAGTCTGGTCTATAAATTGGGTTTTGGGAGGAGTCTAATCGGTTGTCATCCAATCTTTAACATCATGGCAGGACGATATGGGCCTATATATATAAAAACTGAGAAGGATAAAAAGGTGAAACATTTAAAATACCATAAAATGTCCTTCAAGAATTGTAAAAATTACAATTGAACCATAAGAATTTAAAGTAATTCACCACATTTTAATTTTGAATGAATTTTGAATTTAAAACTTTAATTAAAAAAAAAAACTCCCATATTAATGGGTGGTTTCATTGTTTAGCTTCATTTTTTTTTTTTGAATAATTTTTTCATAAAAATATAAAATAGTTATTTAAAAAAAATAAATTACAAGATATAATCTAATATAAAAAGACCATAACGTGTAGGAGGATGCCGGTCAGGAGTTGGTACGATTTCCAATCGTACCAAAAAAAGAAGAAAAAGTGGATAGATCAGTGTGCGGAATTCATGTCAAGTGACTGACAGAAATAAATAAGATGATGCGATCATATCAACTTACATGCATCGAATTTTATTAGAATTTTAAAATTAAGTGAGCTTACACGAGAGTAATACTAGGATATGCGATCTTCTGAAAATCATCCCCCAACCTCTTTTGTTCTCCAAAAAAAAAAAAAAAAAAAAAAAAGATTTTAAATAGACCAAGGCAAACACTACAATATTCAACATACGGGTTAAGCGAATGAATTGGGATCCTCTGCATGTTTTACCCTACAAGACTATGCATGACTTTTAATCCACACCGTCCAAAAGAATCGAAAGGTTATCGATGTGCCACGTATCAAATATTCCAGTTTTGTTCCCCACAACTCCTGCCTCCTGCCTCCTGCTGCATGCATCCACGAATATTGAAGAAATTTATGAGTCATCCATGGATAAATCCATCGCAGAACCATGGTGGAAAGTCACTGCATTGTTAACTTGTTACCATGCTGGATCATTCACGTGGTTTGATGGATAAGGAGCGACAGGAAAGGTGGTGTGAGTGACGACTGACGACGGAGGAGGGAAGGAGGGGTCGGCGGAGGCGACGACAGCCGTACGATCTTGCCGCACTTCAGAGAAGCCAAGGGATTTGGGTGGGGAAAGGTTATCAAGCCGAGAAAAAAGTTATAAAACTGGAACATTAAATACGTGGCACATTTATAACCTTTGGATTATTTCAAACGGTAAGATAAGTCGTGTATACTGTATAGTCTTGTACGTAAAAAACATGCAGAGGATTCGTATCTCTCTCATTGTAAACGAATAATTTACACTACGGCTTATGTAATTGATTTGCCTTGAAAGTGTCTTTTAATCTCACTTATATCTTGAAATGGTTTTGTCTCAACGAAATTGTCATTTTCTGTCATGTTGTCTCAGTTCACCGCATTTTATTTTTGACACAATTTGTTGTCTCTAACTTACCTACTAAAACAATCTCAATTTCATTTTCGATAACTCAAACTTCTGTCTGTGTCTCTTGCACATTAATGCGTATATGTACTTGCAGTCGTTGGATCAATAAGTGGCTTGAATTAGATTTTGAAACATAACCCGCTATTTACTTTTGAAACACAGTCCATTATTTTCTTTTGCAAATGGCTGCAACTCTAGCCGCACACCAATCCGCAATAGAGATAGACGAGTTTGAATTAGTTATGAAAATAGAATTGGCTAAATTGCCAATTTGCTCCTTGAACTATCATTTAATTTTCGATGTTCCCTTGAACTTTTTAATTGAATAATTAAGGACTTAAACTAATTTTATTGACCGATTTCTCCCATATTGTTAGTTTTTCATAGATTTCATCCAAATTAACGTTAACTCTTATCACATGCACATTACGTGACTCTCTTTTGTGGACAAAAGTGTCACTTCACCAAACCTTCATATACAAAAGCTATAGAATCACACATATTTGCATAGGTTTATATTTCAGAAATTTAAAATTTTCAATTATTTTAAAAATAAAGCGACTAAACTATCTTCACATGTTGTGCACATGCTTCCATTTAACAAAAATTTGGATCGAATGAATGAAAAATTAACAGCAGGGGGCAAATCGGCAAAAAAAACAAAAAAAAAACAGTTTAAGTCCTTAATTTTTCAATTAAAAAGTTTAGGGGAGAAATTGAAAGTTAAGTGATAGTTTAGGGGGGCAAATCGCTTAGTTTACTCAAATAGAATTAGGATTGTTTTAATAGAAAATTTGTAAGCAAAGAGCTGTGGTACTACACTTTAATTTAACATTTATTCGATGAAATGGACGAGAGTTAAGTGAACTAAGACCAAATAAGATAGAAACAACATTTTCATAGGGCAAAACAAGACAAAACCAATTTTATAGGTTAAAACAAGAGAATTGTTATTGGCACAGTGACACTTCAAAAATATCCTTTTGCATTCCAAATTTTCTATAATTAGAAGAAAAAAACACTTTTGAGAAAATGTATAATAAGATTTTTAGTATACTAATAATAATCCTCTAAAAAAAACCTAAATGACAGTTTTAGAAACAAATTAATTAGAATAAATCTTCTATATATAAAATAAATGTAGCCTCTTTGAAGTTTCAATAAAATTTACACTATTGCTTACATATAAAAATCAGCGTCAGATTTTTATTTATTTTTTAAAAGTATATATATAAGATATCGCCATGGGCAGTACTGACGCGACATTATCCTGCACAAGAGGGAAACCCCTAGTTTCTGACTAGTTTACTGTTAGACGCGTATCTTGTTTTGGATAACAAATGCGCAACGAATTTACCATTTTTGGTCTGATAATAAGATGCTTGGATAACAGCTTATGTGCAAGGAATTTACTATATTTGATTTAATTATAAGGTGTCATATGTGTAAAAAAATGTACATATTATTGGTTTATTATTTGAATTGAATGCCATAATAACGGTTACGATAAACTTGTTGAATGCGACTATAACAATGACGATGAACCCATTTGATATAGTTGCTTTCATGATAAATGGATCACGTGTACACCGACAAGATTTGTCCTAGTCGTTGGCTTTTTCTTTCCTCTCTCTGCTTTGCAGCTCAGCAGACCCATAATGTAGCTTTTATCTTTTTTACCAGAATAGATACAAATACTCTCGAAATCTTTCTTCACTGGAAAGCACTTAGCTTTCTCTTCACATCACACTTTAATACCTTGCTTTTGCTCGGAAAAACAAAGACTCTCACACAAGATATATATTCATGTACACATATATATAATTGGAATAAGAAGCTCAAGCATTCAAGGTTTCTTTCACATTCTTTCGTCTACCATTGCCTTCAGATTATTCTCTATTACCAGGTACGGACTAGAAGAGTAATGCTATTGTTTTATTTTTTTATTTTTTTATTTATTTATATTTTTTTGGTCACATGGTTTTCTTATGATATCAAAACTTTGATTCAGTTTATGTTCATTTTGTATTTTGCAACTTGGTGGTTCGGACTGGTGGATTATAATAAGACCTGTGTTTTTATGAGCTTAATCAAAGTTTGAAATTTGGGTTGTGTTTTTATCATAAAACCTCATCAAGCTGATTGAGCTTACAACAGCAACTAAGCCATATCGTACTAAGTGAGGTGGGTTGTACGAGTCATATCACCCATTGCTTTGGTTAGACAATGGATTCCGAAACGAGGAATAACAGTTTTGCAGTTTCATATATTTTGTTGGTAATATTATGTAATCTATGATTTGTAATTGATGATTAAGCAATGCGTAAATCTTCGCTCTGTTTCTTTATTTTTTATTTGTATTTTTTTTTTCTCTTTTTATATACTTGTTAAAATTTGATTTTTGTTCTGATGGAACTGGATCTTTTGACTATTAAGAAATATCAAGGGTAAGATTTTGGTTGCCCAAACCGGTTTGGAAGATTTGTTTTCGGCTAAATATATTCGGGTTTTCGTAGGATCTTGACAACGTATGGTACTGTGTTTGTGTAGTGGAGTCTGCAACTGAAGCTGGCAAAAGATCTTTATATTAACTGCTGAAAATTTGTATGTGCAGAATGGCCTGTTCAAGATTAGGCCAATGGTTAACTCTTCTAGTATGTTTGCTGGTATTGCTGAAAGCAGAAAGCCACCCTGTGGCACTCACTCTCGTCGAGAATGCAGTTGCTAAAGGAGCTGGTACGAAATACTAGTGTACCCCGTACAGTTAACTGATTAGAATTGAGTCTGATGCCTAAAGTTTCATTTTCATTGCTCGAATGTCTGTTTCTTTTGAGTTTTATTTTTGCGCTGTTTATAAATTTGACGTGCTATGCAGTTTGTTTGGATGGAAGCGCACCCGCTTACCACTTCGACAAGGGATTTGGTGCCGGAATCAACAATTGGTTGGTTCATGTTGAGGTTTGTGTTTTTCATATCATGCTAAAAGGGATTTTAAAGATAAGAATGACAAGGGTGGAATTTTAATCTTAGAAACTACTTATCTCCAACTTTTCAATGGGAAGAGAAATCTGTTTATTGTATCCGAGTTCTGATATAACATTAGTCAAATATAGTTGGAGAATTCGGAGGTCTCGTGCCTCAAGCCTTTTTCTCTTGTTCATACAACTAGGTGTACGATTCGTTAGCTTAGTAAGCTTAGTTATTATAAAATTTTGCATTAAAGTTTACAATTTCTTCCATTGATATTTTGTTGTTAGGGTGGAGGATGGTGTAACACCGTTGAAGATTGCCTTGATCGCAAGAGCAATTACCGCGGTTCATCAACCAAAATGGAAAAGACAATGTCTTTTTCTGGGGTTCTTGGTAACAAGCCAAAGACTAATCCAGGTTCGGTTACCTTTTATATCTCATTTAATAGCTTTTGTATTTCAATCAATGTTTTTGCCTTGCCAAAATCATTTTTCATTTCAATGCTAGACTTCTACAATTGGAATAGAATCAAAGTCAGGTACTGCGATGGCTCATCATTCACCGGTGATGTTGAAGCAGTCGACCCTGTAAGTTTTCTAAAGTTAATGAGCAAACCCATGTTTTACATTGATACAAACATCTAAACCTGGTGTCTGTTGTACGTCCTTAACCATCTGCTTTCCCACCACATAACATATTTCGAATCAAACTAATTTGATCAGGCAACAAATCTTCACTTCAGAGGAGCAAGGGTTTTCCGTGCCATCATTGATGATTTATTGGCAAAAGGAATGAAAAATGCTCAAAACGTATGGCCCGTTCTACAAACTGTCTACTTTTTTCATCCTATCCTCGCTGCCGATAGCTCATTAATACCACTTTTGATCACAGGCTCTTCTATCTGGTTGTTCGGCTGGTGGATTAACCTCGATTCTTCATTGTGATAACTTTCGTTCTCTCCTACCTGTGGGTACTAAAGTAAAATGTCTAGCAGATGCTGGTTACTTCATTAATGCGTAAGCACTAAGCACGTACTTTATATATTTAATCATGAAAGCTTGACCGAACGTATTTTATACTTATAATCTTTTCTAGTTTCTAAAACCCTATAATGACTTACAGGAAGACTCTGTCTGGATCACAACACATTCAAGATTTTTACAGTGAAGTGGTTGCGCTACATGTATTGTCTCTCTCTCAAGCCTCCGTTACGTGCAAGTGATAAGATTTAGCTTCTAGTTCTGATAATCTATATTTTGTGCAGGGTTCGGCGAAGAACTTACCTGCATCCTGCACTTCAAGAATGAGTCCAGGGCTGGTATGTGTTTATACTCTTGTATGATTTTGCCATTCACTCTATCCTTATTACTTCTGATGTTTCGTACTACAATATTGCAGTGCTTCTTCCCACAAAATGTGGTACCACAAACCCGGACGCCAATATTTTTGGTCAATGCAGCTTATGATTCGTGGCAGGTTAGCTTATGACATATCCTGTATATGTGACCCTGATTATAAAATTGACTAACAGTTTGGTTTGTAATCGTAATAACTTCTTCTATTTCTGTTTGAATTTGCTAACTATCAACACTTACTAGTTCTCCCTTTCCACATTCGGAGACTATGTTAGTGTGCATTTTTTTTCTGATTCGTTGTTGTATCCGCTCAGATAAAGAACATTTTGGCACCGGGTGTTGCTGATCCTAAGGGTGCCTGGAAAAAGTGCAAGCTTAATATAAAGAACTGCTCGCCCAGTCAACTTCAAACCATGCAAGGTATTTCATAACCCCTTCACTTCATACCAGCAATCTTGTTCACGTTTTTGACATGTTGCAGAATTGAAAAAAAAAAAAACCGTCTGCTGGAAAATTGACTTGTCTTTTCGTCTTGGAATATGTTTCAGAATATAGGTTGCAGTTCTTAAAAACAATTGCCGGTGCGAGCAATTCTGTATCTCATGGCGTGTTCATAGACTCTTGCTTTGCCCACTGCCAAATTGGAACGCAGGAGACATGGCTGGCAGCTGACTCTCCTATGTTGAGCAAGACGGTAAGAGTACCGTGATCTGCACTCAAATCTCGGTTTTCATTCAGTTTGAACGTGAAAAACTATAACTTGTTTTTAGTTTTTTGTAACGTGTTTACTGTGTTATGCAGACAATTGCAAAGGCAGTTGGAGACTGGTATTACGACCGCACTGCGTTCAAAAAGATTGATTGCCCTTACCCTTGCAATCCCACTTGCAAAAACCGTGAATTTGACTCAAACGATCAGGAAGATTAATTTCTTTATGTCGAAAATATAGTTTTTATGAGCTATGAACATTACATTTGATGTAATGGCCTACGTACTTATGGTTCTCGGTAATATTTGTTCATTTGAGCTTTGATTTGAAAGTGGTACCGAGCATCTTGTATAGTGTTGCGAATAAAGTTATTCTAGGAGTGTGATTATGTAAACTGAATGTAGAATTCAATAAGATTTAAGACGTCTTATCTTATTATGATTTTGGATTACGTAAAACCCTATCTATGATTAGTATAAATAAAGACACAAGGACAAGTGAAAAATACATCTCTCACAAACAGCTGACCCCTTCTCTCTCCAGTCGTCTCTTGCTCTCTCTCTCTCTAATTGTTTTATTTTTTATTTTTTATTTTTTTGGAAAAAAGGTAATTATATTACCACAAGAAACAGACAAACTTACAACCTGAACAAACTAGGGTCCAAAAACAAAAGTAGATATACAAACAAAAAGGACCAGCCCAGCAAACAAAACCTAAGCCCAACCCACAACGTGGGCCCAAAACAGAAACACCACAAGAACGCCGGAAGAACCAAGAATTCGACAGCCGCCGCCTCTGCAACAGTATTTCGAGATTCACCCAATTCCATGCCTCCAACCGCACGCCAACCCGACGATCAGAGCATCCAACCCCGAGCACCACCTGGTGCGCAGCCACCACAGTAGAAATCAGGCAACCAGAAGAGTAATTCCGGCTACCAGAAGAAAGAAGCCCGTGGAGATCCACTAGCAACACTGCCAACAGAGGCAGACATCGAGAAGGTGGTGGTGTTGGGAACACCCGAGCCTGTGCATGCACCGAAGCTCTACACACCATCTCAGAGAAGCGTGACTGCAGATTGGAGTGTGGATGACCGAGAGGGAGGGACGCCAGTAGGAGAAGACGAAAAGGGCAAAACGAAATAGAAAGCAGGGGGAAAACTCTGCCGAAGGAAGGAAGAGGGGACCAAAAAAGGAAGGACAGATGGGCTAACCAACCCCAGCCGAAGCTAGGGTCAGCGCCCCCTGATCTGCACCGAAATAGGGCCCTCAGACAAACACTGAGAAAAACTCTCAAGCAGAGAGAAGGGCTCTCACAAAGGAGAGAAAAACTTTTTACTAATGCTTTTGTCTCTAATTGTTTTATTTCACAACATGATATCAGCAAGAACGTGAAGGCAAAGTCTTGAAACTGCAGAGAAGGGGACGTTCTGTTTCCATTTAAGCGCTAGGAGGTGCAATGAACGCATATCCGGGAGGCAATACTGGCGCCACCTGTGCAGGGTGCACCCTGAGGTAGGCCAAGCATATATGCTTTGGTTAGATCTGTCCCTGCCCTCTGAAACAAACGACGAGTCGAAAGCAACAGGGGAAAAACTTCACGTTCTCTCAGGATGACGCGACAAGAACTGTCGCTTCTTGCCTCCTGCTTTGATCTTTCTCTCAAAGGACGAACGCTGCGAGGGCTGGAGGGCTTGCATTTTGGACATGAAGGTTAGCCCACAGTTTTTGAGTAAAAATGCGAAGTCGTATCCATAGACTAAAGCCTATCCTTCAGATGGCTATCCTTGAGTTTTCAAACAAATAAAAGTTTTTAACTTTTTTTTTTTTGAACAATAAAAGTCTAAGCTTATCAAGTATTCACCAGGCCTTCGAGATGCATGCATAATAAATTGGAATTTAAGAAAGAAGTTTACGATTTTTGACTATTGACGCGTACATAACTTGACTCCTGTTTTAGAGTATCTTACATGTTGTTGATTTAATAATAAAATATCATATTTTTAATATCGCTCGGAACGACAAAGACTTAAACACACACACATCTATATATATACATACACATCTACACACACACACGTAGATACATCTCTATTTATATTTGGAATAAGAAGCTCAAGCATTCAACAGCCTTCAGATTATTGCCTATTTATCAGGTGCAGAATACGGTGCAATGCTTTTTTTTTTTTTTGGGTATATTTTTAATTTATATTATTTTAAACAGATAAATCTGTCCTATTTTAGTTTCCTTTTTATCACTTGGTGTTCTTATGAAATCAAAACTTTGATTCAGTTTATGTTCATTTGTGTAGTATAAGTCGGTGGTCCTCAGGCCTAGTGCGGGCCGGACAACCGTTTGGGGCACACAAAAATTAGAGGCAACAAAATTTTTAGAGTTGTATATTTATATATATTTTTATAAGAGTACAAATTTTTTAAATTTGGTTAATTGACAAAGAGATTTAACTAGAATTGGTGGCTTCCATTGTTTGAAATTAATTAGGAGTTCTTGGGTTCACCGTTCAACAGACCATGACTAGTGGTTGTGTTGTTTAAAATTGACAAGGATGTCCCGGGTTCAAAACATTAGGTGTTTTTTTTTTTAATTTCCAACTTTTACGAATTTCTTTTCATAAAAGTTTAAATTTATGAAATTTGGCTAAATGACCAAAAGAGTCAATCATAAGCAATGATTTTTGTTGTTTAAAATTAATGAGAGGTTCGAAGTTCGAAATGCAATGGTTTTTGTTTATTCTTTTCAATTTTCACGATTCTCTGTTTGGTTGTTAATTCCTTTAATTCCTAGCTAGTAGCTATGTGGATCGCACTTTTTAAACATTTGTTTAATTCAAGTCTAACATTCAACAAAGAGTAATGCACATATCAACTTTGCAAATTATATGATGTGTCGCTAATAGATTTTTTTTAGTGCTCGTTCATTACTTATACATATCAATTAAAGACTTGAAAATATCATTATTTTTTTAGTCCCATATTGCCAAGGTTAGTAAATAAGAAAAAAAAACACATCACGATTTATATAATACACTTTAAAAGTTCATAAAGAAGGAAAACAAAACTCATAATCTATCTACTTATAAGCCCGTGATTTTTAGTTCCCTTCTTTTGATGCAAAATAAATTAGTTTTTCCGTGTTTCAAAATTATTGAGTTTGAAGTGCTCTTCTAAATATAATTTATCGAAGTCTCAAGTATGTAAACAAATAATTTTCTTATATGAAGATATGACACTTTTTTTGACGTCGTCCTTAGCTCAAAAATCTGAGGACTGACCTTGGTGGTTTGTATTGGAGTATAATATAAGACATGTATTTATATGAGCTCAATCAAAGTTTGAAATTTGGTTTCTGTTTTTTTTTCATAAAACCCCATCAAGCTGATTGAGCTTACAACAACAACCAAGACCTATCGCACTAAGTGGGGTTGTTGTCACTCGTCGCTTTGGTTAGACAATGGATTCCGAAATGAAGAATAATAGTATCGCAGTTTCATATATTTTGTTAGTAATATTATGTAATCTATGATTTGTAATTGATGATTATGCAATGTGTAAATCTTTGCACTGTTTCTTTATTTTTTATTTATACTTTTTTCTCTTACTATGTGCTTGTTAAAATTTGTATTTTATCCATTGAATGAATGAAGATTCATGGTCTGGGTTCTGAATCTCTGATGGAATTGGATCTTTTGACTGTACGAAAGATCAAGGGTAAGATTTTGGTTGCCCAAACCAGTTTGGAAGGATTTGTTTTCGGCTAAATGTAGTCGGATTACCGCCCATGACGGAGGATTCCTTTGACAAATATACACACAGACTGTATAGAGAGGGATTCTTTATTAGATTTAGACACAGATTTTTCAGTGAAGAAAAGCTGCCAAATGCTCTGTATATTAATTGCTGAAAAATTGTATCTGCAGAATGGCCTGTTCAAGATTAGGCCAATGGTTAACTCTTCTAGTATGTTTACTGATATTGCTGAAAGCAGAAAGCCACCCTGTGGGAATCACTCTTGTCGAGAATGCAGTTGCTAAAGGAGCTGGTGAGAAAAACTAGTGCACCATGTGACCATGTCTGTTTCTGTTGAGTTTTATTTTTGCGCTGTTTCTAAATATGACATGCTATGCAGTTTGTTTGGATGGGAGCGCACCCGCTTACCACTTTGACAAGGGATTTGGTGCCGGAATCAACAATTGGTTGGTTTATTTTGAGGTTTGTGTCTCCCCTATCATTCTAAAATAGTTCCCGAATTCCGAGTTCTTGTGTCACAAACCTTTTTCTCTTGTCCATGCATCTAGGTGTATGATTAATTAACTCAGTAAGCTTAGTAATTATTAAATTTTGCATTAAAGTTTATTTTCTTCCATTGATATTTTGTTACTAGGGTGGAGGATGGTGTAACACCGTTGCAACTTGCCTTGATCGCTCGAATAATTCCTTTGGTTCATCAACCAAAATGGAAAAGATAATGTCATTTTCTGGGGTTCTTAGTAACAAGCAAAAGACTAATCCAGGTTCGGTAGATTTTATACCTCATCAATAGCTTTGTGTAGTTCAATTAATGTGTTTGCCTTGCTTTGAAGGTTTGCTTTGTTTAAACAAGCATATATATCTTAAGAATTACTCAATAGTGATGAACATACCTATCATTTTCTTTTCGCTAACGGTTAAACCATTTTTCTTTTCAATGCTAGACTTCTACAATTGGAATAGAATCAGAGTTAGATACTGTGATGGCTCGTCATTTACTGGTGATGTTGAAGCGGTAGACCCTGTAAGTTTCAGTTAATGAGCAACCCATGTTTTGCATTGATACAAGTCTAAACCTGGTGTCTAATGCACCTCCTTAACCCTCCGCTTTCCAATCACTTGGCATGTTTCTAATCAAACTAATTTGATCAGGCAACAAATCTTCACTTCAGAGGAGCAAGGGTTTTCCGTGCCATCATGGATGATTTATTGGCAAAAGGAATGAAAAATGCTCAATCTGTATGGCCCATTCTACGAACTGTCTGCTTTTTTCATCCTGTCCTCACTGCCGATAGCTCATTCGTACCACTTTTGATTACAGGCTCTTCTATCTGGTTGTTCGGCTGGCGGATTGGCCTCGATTCTTCATTGTGATAACTTCCGTTCTCTTCTACCTGTGGATACTAAAGTGAAATGTGTACCAGATGCTGGTTACTTCATTAATGCGTAAGCACTAAGCACGTACTTTAATCATGAAAGCTTGACCTAACATATTTTATTTTTATAAACGTTTCTAGTTTCTAAAACCCTAGACTATAATGACTAACAGGAGGACGGTGTCTGGATCACCATACATTCAAGCCTTTTATAGTGAAGTGGTTGCGCTACATGTATTCTCTCTCTCTCTCTCTCTCTCTCTCTCTCTCTCTCTCTCTCTCTCTCTCTCTCTC